TCCTGCGTTTCGGACGAAGTGGAAGGCCGTGTTCATTGTTCTCCACTAGTGGAAAGGTGTGGTGAGTGAGTCTCTCAGCTCAACCACCCGATATGTGGGGAAGTTCCGACGAAAAACACCCAAACGAATCCAAACGAATCCTCCCAAACACCCGCGGTGCGGTGTGTAGCGAATTCGGTTTCGGTGAAGGAACATAGACCAGTCTACCGTTTAGACGACCAGCCTGGGCTTGGAACCCAATGGATGTTACATCCCGGATTTCACCAAGCAGATTGGGGGTCACACCCAATCAAAATCCCAACACCCAAACTGCTTGCTTGGCCGTGTCCATCGGACGGAAAAAGCCGGTCATGGGGCCGGCCCGCCTGGTGCAGAACGGCGCTGTAGATCCCTGAAAGCATGCCCAGGAAGAGCATGCAAAACCTGGTGTTGCCATGTGGCGCACTGCTCAGTTCCCCCTGCTAGAACTTTTGAAACGGAAACAAACCTACTTAAAACAATAGTTGTTGAATATAAATTTTGATAGATCCCAAATTGATCCCAACAATGAGACTCAGAATAGACTCACCAACCAACGGTTTCCCCAAGGTCATGGGGACGTGACCGCTCTCTCCTTCCTCTTCCTCGGTGTGTCTCTCCCGCTACGAGTTGCCGCGACTGACTCGCCGAGGACGGCGCCAGTAGCAGATCAACACCGGAAACCTCGGTGGAAACGAAGCCGCTTCACTTCTGCGCCACGCGTCGCTTCTGCCGAACTAGTGGGCCCATGGGAGGGAATGGGAGGGTACCATGCCTTTGGGGGAATTCGTTCTGGTATTTTACTATAGAGCCCATACGGCTGTACATGAGGTGGGGAAGACTTATGATGTCCATCTGAAGTGGTCAACCCCGGAAGGTGGAAGAAATGTTTCATAGTCAAACATCACAGCTGTTCTGTGCATTTGTATACAATTTGTAGAGTTCGTTCAGGTGAGTCCAAAGAAGAAACTCAACCAGCAGTCACAAAGGGATGCCTATTGGAGGATAGGGGTGCCTATTATCCACTCACTGGATGGGACTAAAAACCACTGTGACTCCTGGAACAGTTGACTTACTCAATCACCCCAACACGTCTTCCACCTCTCATGGCCTGTGGAGAAACATGGCGCCAAGTGACTGAACCCAAAGCAACACGACAGTGATGTTGCGCAGCAGGGCCTCGCAACACGCAAGAAAAGCACCACGCAAGGTAAACCAGGCTCGGCTCCGGTATTTGGAGTGAAGCGGTCTGGCGGTGGACTCATGATTTCCTTCTCCGGTCTGGTGATCGCTTGGAACTGGGACGATTCGACTCAGGTCTGACAGGGAAACTGGTCTTCGGAGAGTTCGACTCACGTCTTTGGAGTTCCCAAGACGCGACAATATCATGTCAGAGAGCTTCAAAACTTCATCAACCCGGATTTGGGTGTTTAGCATCTTTTAGCTTCATACAAACTGGCAAACCAACCTAACCCCAAACTTAATGAAGGGACAACACACACACACACACACACACCACAACCCCAAAGTTCTTATCCCGAGAGCTGCGTGCGAGAGCAACCGGGCCACCTGTGCTTTCAACTCGTCCGTTCGGTCGGCGGCTGCGCTGCAGTTCTCCGATCTCCCTCGAGCTCGTCGCGTCGAAGCAGAACGAAGCAGCACGAATGAGACGAGGCGTGACGCGTGCGGAGCGTCGCACCTGTTCCTCCAGGAAGTAGAAGGAACCCATCTGTCGAAACTTCACATGGACGCCATTCATGTTCACCACCCTCAGCACACATGGGCAGATTGGCTGCGGCCAGCTGGTGTCCAGTGTTTGGGAGATCACGTATCCTCCACAAAAAAAATCAGTAATTCCTTCTCCGTGGCTGGACATGCCCCCAACTCTCTCTCTCTCTCTCTCCACATCTCCACTGCCCTCTGGTGGTCGTTTTGTGCCCCCTAAGTCGTCGTTGCTGGGATGCCGCACCGCATGCCCAAGGCGCCCAGAGTTTGCTCCTCCTGCCGTGCGTTTGCGCGCAGTGGCAAGCCCCAGTGGCAAGCCGCGGCGGAAGGGGACGTGAAACGCTGACATGGAGAACAAAACCATGTAAGTCTATAGAACCAGCAAATCAGACCAAAAGGACATCCAAAAGGACCACTATTACAGGGGCATAAATGGGGCCTCTGATGCCTCTGCAAATATCTGCAAATGATTCACACATTCACAACATATATAGGGGACCATTTTAGGGGGGAATGCTTCACCGCTTGATGGATCTCATTCTTCACAGGTCTTTCTCACGACACCTGCTGCTTGGCCCAGCGTTGGTCCACATGCACCTGGACCATGCGCCGCATGGCGCATGGCGCGCAGGAGTTCAGTCGAAGGTGGCCCTGAGAGTGTTTCACCCGTTCGGTCTCTTCTCATGACACGGGATCCCTGACCTATCTGACGCTTAGATCCTTAGATAAGGATAAGGGGTATATGATGACAAAGCCATGTAGCAAGGCAGCACACACGAAGGAACGGGACCAACAAGGCAACATCTTCAGAACACCTGAACAAAGACTCAGCGAACGAACAAGAACGAACGAACGCGCACACAAAAGATTCGGAGAACACCGGAGATCCTTCGACTCAAGTTTGGAGCCCTCACAATAAACGTCGGCGTTTTCTTCCTCCGTGTTTTTGCTCCCTGGCTCAGTGTTTGCGTGATTCCAGAGGAAAAACGGCACATCTCCGGTTCTTTTTATCCTCTGGGCTCCTGGCTGACATGCAGGCGATGGGTCCTGACCATTCCACTTGCACCTGGCACAAAGGGCACCGCATCGAATCCGGATGTATTCGACCGGTCCTGTCCAGCTGAGGCAGAGGAGCCGGGTCTCGGCCACGGAGAACCGCAAACACCGCAAGGAGTGGTTCCAACAACTATTCCCATAATGGTACTCTGAGTGTGAAGGATGGTGAATCCGTGAATCTTTGGGTGGGGCAACCTTCCATCCATACGAAGACCTTCCAAAGACAAACCTCCTGGCCCAACTTCTGTCAAAACAATAAAGAAACTCGATGACTTCTGGTTTGGAGGATCAACTCCGCAAAAATATGCCCAGACTTCCTATATCTCCCTATCAAACAAAAAGGGAGGTGGTCACATGATGCGTGGACCTCCATCCTGTCCTCACCACCCTCCCGGCTCCTCTTTCGGCTTCTCGGTCTGGATGGTGTGATGTATCTGGCGGCAACGAAACCACGGTCCAGGCTACGTCGCCGTCCACCGTCCGCCGGCGTGCGAAGCGGCGTATGCTTTCCAGGCTGAGATCGTACGCCCTCACCCAGAGTGACTGCCGGAATGCTGTCGTTTGTTTGGCTTTTCGGATGGGCTGGGTGGTTGGCCCGGTTGACCTCGCCGCATGAGATTTGTCAGGCTTTATAGAGTTGAGGGAAGCCACACACACAATCCGAAGAAGAATCACTGAGCTGGTCCCGGCATCTTCTTGGCTCTTTTCGGGGTCCACACATCGCCTTCTCTTTCTGTTTGAACTCTTGGTGCCTGGTGAGCTCCCCGAAGCGCCCGCACCTCACAGGTCTGTGACGAGGTCGTCCAAATGTCGATCGTCACCTCGGCACGGTCAACGGTGACGTCCGTCGTCCACATCCATCGGCCGTCCAGCTGTGCTTGAACGTCCGGACGTGGAGGCACAGCACGGTTCGACACAAGGGAAAGCGAGTCCGGAGTCAGGCCGTTTCCATTGGCCTGAAGTGGACTGATGCTCACTGGCCGTTTCGACGCCGTTTCGGGGCAACTTAAGCTTGCCCTGGGCAAAGCACCGTTCAGCACCGTTCAACGGGCCGTTTGGAGCAGGCCGTTTCTGGCGGGGGAGAACCACATGCCGTGTTCTCCACCGCGGACGCCGTGAGGGTGCGGTGCTTCTGAGAGGAAGAGAACAAGACTCGCCACCGTCCGACCTTTTTTCGGTTTTGGGATGAAGGGCGAAGCACCGAAGGGTTTCCACCCGCGGCGCGAGAACGTGACGAGCGCCTTTCTCGTCCTTTTTTCTGCGGAGCGCGAGCTTCTGAAGAAGGCGTTCAAAGAGGGGTGGGTCATGGACAAAAAAAATGGCTTGGAATCATGACCCCAAATTCAAGCCAACAATAGAACTCTGGCAAAAAACAGCTTGTTTGGCTTCAAACATCCTTCAAGCAACTCAGTTGATCTTTCTATCGTCGTTGTGAGACTGCTTTCACGGAGACTGTGTGCCCCCTGTAGAAGCCTGTCGGCGATCGACGAGTTGAATGTACTTCTGGCGATCCTTCGGCCTGTCTATGGATATTGAACCATTCACAAAAACATTCAAAAACCAGGTGTTTCCCTAGCAAAAACCACATGGTTTGTGCTAATGTGAAAACCATGAAACCCTTTATAACCCTTTGTTTTGCATCGTTTGGTTCGGGCCCCTGGTCAATTGCGAGAGAATATACGGTCGGATATTCGATGGTCCGTGTTTTCCACCAAGAGACCGCCGAAGCAACCGGCTTCGGTCCTCCACTGGGGACCAGCATTTCCCGACCCCAACAAAGGTGTAAAATTACACATGGTTTTTGACATAACTGGCACGCTTACATACATTGGGGTGGTTGATTTCAGGAGTCCAGTCCACTGTGGCTTCACGCTTCTGCCAGTCCGTGCCAGGACCACTGCACTGCAGCCTCCACATCTCCCGGCCGCACTTTTTTTCACAAAAATGGGTTCACTCGCCAGTGAGGCTTGAAACGGACAGCAGTCAGCTCTGGCGCCCAACTTTACATGAAGCGTCTGAGGATTTCTTTCACTCTTGACATCAAAAGCCAGAGAGCTTTGGACAAAAACCCACAGATCTGTACACCATAATCTATACAACTTGAGGCTCCGTGTCTATATAGTGCATGCCTTTTCAAACCAACTCTGTGCATGCACCAAGGAACCCACCACTTCGTACCAGGGAACCCCACTTCGTTCCATCTATGGCTGACGGAATCGTCCACCAAAGAGGCTGACCGAGTCGAAGGGCCTCGAGGCCGTGCAGAGCCCTCCTGCGTGCGACTGGTCGAAGAGGCTGCTGTTCCGCAAGTTGGCCGCGAAGTGGCGCCAGGCTTCCAGCCGCTGTGGTGAGCAATCCAAGCCTTTGGATTTGCGGCTCCCAGAAACATGGTAAACAAGTAGAAGATATACCCCAGGTTAGGATGTTTGGGGATTTACCCAGGAGCCGGGAAAATCACAAAAATCACCTTAATGAAGCAACACCAGGACGCCGTGGTGAATCTTCTCCATGACTTCGGGCCACCAAAGGAACAAGGCCTGGAACAGGCAGGCTAACATGATGGCGCCCATGAGCAGGGCGTAGAAGAAGCCAAAGCTATAGACCTTAAAGAAGGGCACTTTGGCGGGACTCCAGGGGCACAGCCAGAGAAGAGCCATGTAGCTCATGCCCATGAGAAAGGACCAGGTCCAGTAATAGCCAATGGGAGAATAGGTGGATGCTACGAAGCACTGCTGGCTGAAGTCCTCTTGGAAGATGCTATAGATGTGTCTCACCAAGACTGTGGTGATCCGATTGAAGCCTGGTGTGAAGATCAAACAAACGGTGAAGGCCATGTACTGCATGTGCAAACCATGGAGTCCTTGGGATGCAAAGGCAATACCACGAACACCTGAAGCCATGATACCAAAGCCAATCATCACAAAGAACATGGTCTCTGCTCCTCGTTTGTTCTGCACATCACAGAACCACAGCGATAGCGTTCCAAGACCGACGCAAGCAAGGATGATCACGAGCAGGACCGAACCGAAACGTGCATGCCCCTTCATGGCACTGACATTGCTCTTGATCACACCAAAGTAAGCCAAAACGACTTGTAGCAAAATTCCGCCCAACATGGGCACTGCAAAAGTCATGTGTGACTTCAGAATGACCGGCAAAGAGTTGAAGACAGGATTGTACAATGTACCAATCTCTGCTGGCCGCGGCTCGTACGGCTCGTTACCACTGGTATTCCACCATGACCCATACCATGCAGACATCACAATGCTATAGCCAAAGATCAGCCCGGGAGGAGCACAATAAAGTACCACCAACCAAAACCACTGTGCCTTGAAGCCATGCAGGTAGTTGTCCCAATCCTTGTCCACCTCTTGTCCCGTTGACCAGCTTTGACCGCCTGGGCCGTCAATGCTCTTCAGCTCTGTGGTCAAAGGCGCATAGGAGGACGGTTTGGCCATGGATGCCGAACCGGTGGGTTTGGCCGTATGAAACGATCCACGCACACGGCTGATGTCCAGCGAACGACCCAAAACGGCTGATGCAATGGCATTGGCATCATGATGTCCAGCGAGGGCTTCGAGTACTGCCCACTTTCACATACTTTCACACAAACATCTGCCAGCTCAAATTTCGACTCACTCACCTTGAGAATAACGCTCCCGCCCACCCCCAACCCACCGCCCCCATCCCCCAACCCACCGCTCCGAACGCTTTTTCTTTGGAGCACTGCGACCCGGTCGCGGTCGCGCGTTCTTCGCGCGTTCTTCGCGTGGAGGAGGTCCCTCTGTCAGCGGCTCAGAAGACATGACACTCACCGTGGACGTCTTTGAGTCCTTCGACGAGGTCCACGGCGCTGGGCACCGCAAGGCCGATCTGCAGCAGCAGCAACCTACGGGAAGGGGGAAGGTGAAGAAAGTGTTGGTGTCACCGGTGTCACCGGTGAAGCAAAGAATGGGAATGACATGGACTGAACAGGTGCTTCAGGAAAAAACAAAAATTTACCATCTTGTGGCTGATGGGGAAAAAATCCAAATACACATTTTTGTGGAGGATGGGGAATGCGTTTTGAATGCATGTTGAAAGGTTTTGTCTTTTTTTGCAAAACCAGGTTGACTCATGGCAGGCTTAACTTAAGGGATCCGTCTTCCATCCATTTGGAGCAACAGGGCCAAATTGATATTTTTCCGTTCAGAGTTCGTTAGATGCCGTTCGTAGAGAGTGAGAAGGGAAAGTTTAGAGTGAGGAAATGTTCTTGGAGTGCAAACATCACCCGGGGGAGATCCTCTGCCCTCTGAGCCAAAACGAGTGTCATCACTGGAGCGTCTCTCAGCCACACCCTGGGTGTCTTTGTTACTAGTAGCTTCTTGTTACTACAGGTGAAACGATTCCCAAGGACGCTTCTAGTTACGAGTAGCTTCAAAGACCTCCTAGTAGCTTCTTGTTCCTACTAGTAAGGCCAGGAGCCCCGTTCGTAGCGTGCTTGCTCCTGGTAGCGATGCCCCTCGCTCCTAGTAGCGTGAATGTAGAATTTGTCTCCGCAGTCTCCGCATGAGAACACATCGTCTCATCCTGTAGGAACTATGCTATGCCCATCCACCCAGGAGCGAGGGAGGAACAGCACAAGCCAAAAGGATATAGCTTCCTGTATCTTATAACCTCCGAAGGCACACATAAACGCCTTACATGTTTTTGCATATTTTAGCCATTTGGAGTCATTTGGATCTTCTACTAGGACTATCCAGGTAGGGCCTGAAGGATTCTCCCGCCCAATTTGACATCAAAGGGACGCAGTGCCACTGGCATACCACGAGGCCACCGTAGCGCCCACCCTTGCTATAACCAGGGCTGCTTGCCACCAGCTCATGTCCTTCAAGTCCTCTTCGAGGATCTTCCCTCAGCCGATTGGTTCCTTCACGGGAAATTACAACGGTTTCCGAAATGGTTTCTAGCTAAGGTCACAGATAGAAATGGATTTCACAAGCTTTTTGAACAAGAATGTAGCCAGGTACGTGTACCTGCAAACTGTGACGTATGGCGGCTAAGGGGGTAAGGTAAGGTGCCGCATTTCTCCAGTGGGTCGTGTTGCAGGGTTCTTCAGGACAAGCAGACTATATTAGGTCAACTGTACCCTTATAATCGACATCCTCAATGGTGAATGCATCGATCTCTTTTTAATCCTGACAAATTGGCTGAACGGTGTGGAGAACGGCTCTTCCCACATTTCCACTTGCTTCCACTTCCCTAGGCCCTAGGCTTCAAAGACCTTTAAAAGAAAGGTTCACCTGGGGTTGTTGCCTAAAATCCATTGTAAAACAAGGGTTGTTCGGCAACAACAAACATCAAATTACTGGTAGGGCCAGGAATCCTAGGGCTGTTGTGGATACTTGCTAGTAACAAGGGCATCGCTACGAACGTAACAAGAAGCTACTAGTAGCTCCAGGCCTCACTACGAACGGAGCAAGAAGGCATCGCTAGATTCTGTGTACCAAGCTTCCACCGCACGCCGTTTCGCGCCAACTCCTTCGCTCGCGGACCAACATCCTTTGCTCGCCCAAGAGGCGAAAAATCTGCTCCTCGTGGAGAATGTCGAAGATTTGCCATACTTTCAGTGCGACCCCAGCATTGTCCTGCACTTCCTTCTCTTGCACCACCGAGATAATTCCTGACAGAGTCACTGCAATTTGTTGTCGCCAAATCCCGAAAGCCACCGCACCAACAAAGCATCTCAACCCCAGCCATGAGGAAAGAGTCATTCAAAACCAACAACATCCAACAACACACCAGGATCATCCAGTCGGGGTCCTCCTGGCTGGACTACCCCACACGACCGGCCGTTCGGCTTCCAGACAGGCACCCCGATGGTCGGATGGTCCAGGCAAGAATCACCCGAATCAATCACCCGTGGGCCGCGTCGCGGTGTCCGCGTCGCTGCTTTGGCTGTCTCGCGTCGCAGTGTTTTTTTCTTGCGGAGATCGAGCGTCGCTGAATGACCACGGTGTGCTTCTCCAGGAGATCCTCCATCAGCTGATGGCTGGGTGTGGAGACCCCAAGAATTCCCAAGATCAAGTTCCTGGGATGTGGGGCGATTGACCAATCCGTCGATGGACAGCGGAGCAGGGGGATGACGGTCGCGAGTCAACCACGAGCGACGAGTCCCCGGGACTCATCCGGTTGAACTGGAAGTCACCAATCGCTCATCTGCGTGAGTTGGGTTTGGAGTTTTGAGCGATTTCTCACAAGTGCTTTGGGGTGTCCAACGGTGTTGGTCGTGTGCTTTGAACACAAACCAGAAGTGTTTCTTTGTTTCTTGGCAAGTCACAGAAAGCGACATGCCGGACATGTCATGACCAATGGCATTGCTGGACACGTGGTGAACCACCAGAGATGATGCCAGGTCGCCCGAAAGAGATCGAGATCGCCAACGACAGAGGTGGGGCTCGACGGATTTCAGGGCCCCTCGAACCTTTTCTTCTACTGATTCTACTGTAACAATGACCATGTGGCCACTCATGTGGCCCTCTAAGCCTTTTTCCACGGACATCTCTCACTCCAAATCTCTAGATTCAGCAATTCTCCAACAGCAGCACCTGTCTGAAATCACCAACTCTACACCGCCGCAACCCACACCGATGCTGACAAATGGCCTCTCCCTTTGCCCTTCCAAAACCGTCGCTTGACCATGCTGTTGACTCCTCTTCGGCATATTTTTCCCCCCAACTTCCTTCGGCGTTGACCCGCTCCTGATCTTTTTAGCGCCGAAGGGACGCAGAGCTGGTGCCAACTTTGAACACGGCCATCTCGCATGCGGAGGACGGCGCCGTGGTGTTCGGTGCGGCCGTCGGCGCTGCGCTGGTCGTGCTCTTCGCTGTTGCGGTGGTCGTGGCATGCTCACTCGTACCCAAGGCAGACAAAGCACGGCCTGCAAGAGGAAGGTTTCTTGGGCCTTTCTTTGTTAGATGGTCTGCTGATAATTTCTTGTTTTTGAAGGTATGCGTTGACTTGTGCTTTTGAAGTAGGTAGGCATTGACTTTCAATAGTATATTCATAATCATTCATATCTATTCATCATCGTTCATCATGTCATAGGCACAAGCTTGAGTCTATCAACAAACAAACGCAGAGTCGTGCGCCTTTCACGTCCTTGGCAAAGTAACCCTTGAGCTTTGGCAAGGGATCTGGAGGTTCCGGTACCTCGATGGAAAGAACGAAGTTTCTGTATATACAAAGCCAAACAAACAACGTCCAACTCTAGTTGCCCATTCTGCACTAAAGGTCTTGGCAGGAGCTGTAGATACCGGCGTGTTTTTGTTCTCTTTGCGGCCCAACACCGTAAGCCCGGAATGAGAGTTTGATCAGTCCAGTGAGATCGTGGAATTTCACATATCTCATATGGATATGATGGGAGCACCTGAAACTACTGGTGCGAATCTCTTCAACTCATGATGCAATCTGCATGATGAAAGTTCGAGACTTATAGTGTACATGTTTCAAGATGTTTCAAGCGATCCGCCTCGTTTTCCCCACCACCTACTCACACATATATCCAATCACCACCGTCCTACAACAGAGCACCGAGCACTGCTGTCGGGCTTCCTTGGAGAGGTCGATGCCCAGTTGGTCTTCCTGCAAGAGCAACTCGGTGATCAAGGTCGCGTGGGTAATCAGCCGCGACGCCTGGAGGGGGCGAAGGGTGAACAAGGGTGAACCCCAGAAGCGGGCGGAACATGTGCGGTTAAGACTCCTGGGTAGATCTCAATTCTCCTAGGGCCATGTGGATGATGATTGTTGGTAAAGGCCTTTCCAAACAACAAACAATATAAAATTAGTGCACGAGAATCCATCGAGCTGCCCGTCCACACCCCAACCCCCAACAAACGTCGCCCCACGTCCAGCCTGCTCGGGGAACCACTGGGCGGCCAGCGCCAAGCCAGCTCGCACTTCCTGCCGCGTGAAGTTCGCCATCGGCGCGTGGCTCCGGTGGGGAGGCGCTCCACCTCGGAAGGGCGTGGCGTGGGGCCAACACGGGTCAGACGGTGTGGAGAGTGAGGTGAGTGTGGATGACGGTGTGGAGAAGGATTTGGTCACAAAGCTGGTGGTGAAAGACCTTGGAAACTAAGTGGTCGAATGGGGTGTGGGGGGTCGGGGCTTGAGGCATTGCTGTACAGGTCCACGTGAGTGTTAACAGAATCCCAGAATCGCCCAGATGAACTGAGGAGGAGGAGGAGGAGGGATGACTTGTGAAGATTCTGTGGAAAGCGGAGAGGAGATCCGAGATGATGCCTTTCAATTTCACCTATACCTATCTAGAACCTGACTGACTTCTCTTTTGGAGCACCAGCCACACACAATAGGGCTTTTTCCTATCAAAGAGGGGTCAATTGGGTTCCAGGTATACCGCCTTTGTAAAGGAGCTACGCCTTTCATAAGATACCAGGGATGTTTAGTTCATTGGACAAGTACGAGAGATGCAGTACCAGAGTGCTTTGACACATCCGCTTTGTGGAGAGTCTTGGTCCTGGCTATTCATCATCCCTGCAATCCCTGGTTCTGTGTAATCAATGATGACTAGTGACCTAACAATCGGTTTGAGGGAACATTATCTACAACATTCTACAACTATAGGTTCATGGCTTTTGGGGTGAGAAAACGAGAATCACCGCACCGACATCACCACCGGACAGCATTTTCCGCCAAAGGAACCGCCGAGTCGGTTGGTCTCTTCGTGGTGCAGATCTTCGGCATCGATCACCTGGGCCGTCGTGACTGGCCGTCACGACCGGCCGGAGAAGTGGGAAGGAAGGGACGTGGCGCAGAGTGGGCCGGCAGACGTGGCGAAGCTTCAACTGACAGATGTTCTGGGATGCTTTTGGGGGGATTCCATCTATAGGCATATATATTACCAGACACATGGAGTGTCTGGGAGAGGTGAAGCCTTTTTCACCCCAAGGCCCTGCATGGCCAAAGCGCCAGGCCCTGCAGCGCGCTTTGTATCATATATCGGTTTGGAGCGAATAAATCCATGTACACATGAATAAGGTGTCGTCTTTTTGTACAACTATATATATATATATATACTCAAGATTACTCAAGTATGAAATCCTTCCATCGGGCTCTTGCACCTAGCCCATCACTTCAAACATTACTTCATCCCATCTGATTCATCCCTCCTCCGCTCGTCGTCTCCTCGGCTCAGTCTCTCTGCTGCGCCAGGTCACGCCGTCGCCGTTGTGATCGAAGCGGGCGAATTTGGAGTTCCAGCAGTCTTGAGAGATCCGGCTCTGGGAGCCTCCATCGCAGCTGGACATGACCTGAAGAGATCGGGGCGAGATCATCAGTGGCGAGATCGGTGGCGCGCAAGCGATGATTCCGTTCGTGCCGTTTTGCAACAGGTGCCGGAGGGTGATTCACAATATCACCACTGCAAGGTAGAAGGAAACGATATCGTTGATTTCTTCGACAGGTCTCATGATGTCTCATGAACCGACGAGTTGATCTGTGCGACCTGACCGGACAGCTCAGCTCACTGGTCAACCTCACTGAGCCTGTGGTCGGGGGGGGGGCGGTAGTTCTTGGGATCTTGGTGGGGGTTCACCCACAGCTGCATTTCATCAAGGTCTAAGATGGTCTAAGGGATGCAACTACCACAACTTCCCATTTGACTACCATGCTTCTAAGAATCCTTTCAGGCCTGCATGTATAGAATCCTTTCAGGACAACCATTTGGTCTATACTTTTGACATGTGAATCTTGTGAGGAATGGCTATAGGCTCAGGGTTTCCTGCTACATGTTGACCAATTCTCGATTCTTGAACACAGCATACCCCTGCGGCAATCACATCGGTCCAGGCTGGCCTGGTAAAAGGAGGCGTCAGCAAAGACTTCCTGCGCCCAAAGACTCTCTTTGCTCGCGGCAGCCTCTGCATGCGTTTGTAAGAGCTGCAGCTCCTGCGCGGTTTCTTTCGAAAGCTGAGAAATCCTCGTGACTGTTCTGGCTGTGGAGCTGAAAACAGGGAGACTTCGACTTCTTCCGGCCCCAGCCCCAGCAGGATTGAGGAAAACCCATGGAACCACCCCATCTTCAGCACCTCCTCCAAGCATTGCGCCGCCAGGGCCCCTGGCAGCGCTAGCAGCAGGACTCGTGCCAGGCGCAAGACACGCCGGCCAGTTCCCATGGCAGGACTGGTGCCGCACGGGAGGGAGAAGCACCGCTGCACGAGCAACGTGGTTAATGGTGTGGTCAGGTCAGTCAGGGGGGTCCGACTATAGGATCCAATTAGGAGATCCTGAGCAAGCATAAGATCTGGATAGTTGTTTTTCTTCGACAGCAAGCTCAAGAAGTCTCTTGAACCAGAAAGTTCACACGTAGACGGATTGGGCAGAAGATGATGAAGACGATATCCATCTCAGACAGTCCGCAGCGGAAGCGGCGGAACATAGCAATACAAACCTCCTCGAGGGGATCAACACAAGATGGATCCAGCTTTGAGGATTTTCACGCTAAGAGCAAGATGAGGAATCAACCTAAACCCAAACACCCCATGCAATCATCACATGGTCTCAATCCCATTGGGGTCACTGTAGGCCACGAGTGTCGGAGTGTCTGGCTTCGTTGGTTCACCTTTGGTATACGGTCCGTCCACCTTGATGCTCCCCCCACGTCCCGTCTCGTCTCCCACCGAACGGTCCGCACCTCCAACCACCAACGATTCCGCCAGCCACGCACGGAGCCATGGCCACCGCTGCGGCCAAAGGACAGAGCTACAGGACCTACAGTTAAAACGATGGATCCACTTCCAAGACTAACTACATCTAACTACCAAGAATCACTGCTTACATGTAGTTTTCGTTCTCTTTCCTAAACATGCCGATATCTCTGACTACCACAAGCGGACAAACAATCTCTCTGAAGTCCCCAGAATGACGAAAAAGAGTGAAAGGGCACAATGACTCTTCCTTTTAGTCTTTGAGGTTACCCACAATGTCCTCTTTACTTCCACATGCCAACCTCTATCTCGGAAGACTGAGGCCACAATGACTGACCGCCTCACCAGCCTGATCTGCGCTGGACATGACTGACCCGTCCCGTCCGGCGCGTCGCGCGTCGCTCTGACGGTCCGGACAGCTAAGCCGGTCAAACGAGCGGGTAGACCTGGGATGGCAGGATGCTGTGTGACAGGACTGTCAGTTGGGGCAAAACATGAGCTTAGACAATCTTAGACAGCTAAGACCGTTCAGGTCCATCGTCGTAGCTCGGGTCCTTGTGGCTCTTTGTGGCTGTCCATCGAAGGCCCCCGGGCTGCTCACGGCCGCATCCGCACGGGAATAGACGCTGTCGAGGCCTCCGCACCCGCTGTCTGCCGTGGCAGGCGGCTGATTGAGGGCACCCTCGAAAAAGGGGGTGAGAGAGGCACAAGCTCGTGGGTGGTGGGACAATGAAGTGATACACCGGTGTCAGAAGCGATCGGAGGAACGGGGCGACCCTGGTGGCCGTATACTACGCTACGGAGGGAGCGATCGGACGCTGACCCGGGTTCCAAGACATCGATGTTCAAAGGGTCATATTCGTTCCGGCGCGCCGATTTTTTTCTGCAGGGAGGAGGCGGGAAGGACGAAGGCTTTTCTTCCCAGTGTATTGTTGTGCTGCGATTGGTTGAGCCAGCCCAATATTTTAGCACAATCATCCATAATCTCTCCTTAAACAATGAATCCTGACACCTGGACCTAAACACCACGACTTTTGATGACAGTGGGATGCACATGGATGCACGTTGAAAACTATCAACTGCAGCCACGCAGGGAGCCATGTCAGAGCGTCCGTCTGGGCCTATGCTGTCTGCTCCTTCCACGTAGGCAGCTTGCAGGATTTCCTGACAAACCGCGACCGAACGAGGCATACAAACTCTAGCTCACCCACACATATAGCCATAGCCCCAACAAAAAGATCCATAGAAATAGAATGAAATAGATGGCGATATAAGGCCATACGATCTGGAGTATCACCCACAACTCCCAAATTGACTCATGGCATTCCCGACCCCGTGCCTCGAGCGTCAAAGTCACACCTGTCGTGACATGACGAAACGAAGACAACGGGGTCCGGACCACACCGAGCCGCAAGGGGCCTGGTGCGGAGCTGTCTACACGGGGGTTCCGAGACCCACATGGATCTACATGGAACCGGGCGAACGGCATGGACCAAACGGGCAAAATGGTCTTTTTGTTCTCTACAACCCAGTGCTGTTCAGGTCCCATGTGGGGTCTATTGCTTGGGGGTATCCCCTGACAGAGTTTTGACCAACCTTGCCCCATGTCAATCATGCAGATTTGACCAGATTGATATCCTTTTCCTCAAAACTCGTTTTAACATGTCCAAACATGGAGTGAGTGTGGTAGCATACTATCCGAGATTTCAATGTGTTAAGACGCGTCAAGTACAAACCCACAAATATAGAAACCAAATCATTCGTGCGAGCGTGAGCTATCCTGCATCCAGTTACTAGAAGCTTACTAGGAGCGAACAAGTGCAGGGCCGAGCGGGCTAAAACAAGAGATAACACCTGGCTTTGAAAAACAGAAACACCGTGCTGAAAGACACACACACACATGCTACAAACAAGAAAAACACAAACATGGGCTAATAAAAGAAACACCGTGCGAAACAAATAATTACTCAAACACACACACAGGCCGGGGCCAACAAAAAACACACCCAGCAAAAGAAACGAACAAACGAAAACCGGACTAAGCACAGAAAACACACGGCTTAACATGTCTATCAAAACAATTAACCAAACCAACAGAGGCACACCTGGCGAAAGAAATACAACATACAAAAGAACATGTGTCCAACTCGTTTGGGTCATCACCCCGGCACGTGCCATTCGCCGCTTCCCGTGCTCCGCGTCGATCCCGGCACGTCTCGTGCGCCTTGTCCGGGCTGAAAACGCTTCACTTCAGCACCACTGGGACCTCGGTCGAGGCGAGTGAAGGCCGCCGTGTTCGCCCCAAAAGCCTTTTGATTGTGGCATGTCCATTTTCCATCGTGTTCCATGTTGCGTGGTATGTTTTTGTTAGATAAGTCCTACAGCACTACCTACCTACCTACCTACCTCCCTGCCTGCCTGCCTGCCTGCCTGCCTGCCTCCCTACCTACCTACCTACCTCCTGCCTGCCTACCTACCTCCCTACCTACCTAACCTTCTTCTCCATATAGACCTTAGGGCCTTAGGGTCCAAAGGCTCCAGGCTGAAGAGCACCGAAAGCAGCCCCACATCCCAGCCTGCAGAAGGCCGGGCGGCTGGCTTCGTCAAGGAGGTCGTCTTGTTTGGGTCATAGATGGTTCCTTATGGGTGGGGGACTGCTGGGAAAACACCCACGACTATGGCATTTTGCAAAACAATGCATTTTTGTCCTGATGCTTTGGGAAAGCTAGTCTTTTAGCCGTAGCTTGGTAGCTTGAAGTCGTTTTAGACCTTGGGACGCTCAGTTCAAATCGGAGCTCCACTCCACCCCAACTGGAGAGTGGCCTTGCGATTTGTAGGCGCCCGAATGAGCCTGGTGGGCGCGGTCGGTGGCCAGAATGCTAGGTGCAATTGGTGTAACACCCAGCCACCAGCCTTGGGGTGTTCAATGGTTCATGGCATGGGAGTCATATATAGACTAAAAGACAGATAAAAGACAGGATACAATCAGGATACAAATGGACCAGCTTTTCCCCTGCAACCCATGTGTGACATCAATGGGCACGACATGAGTCTGAAGCGCAAAGGGCACGCGCTGTGCGCTTGCGCGCGCACGCATGGGGCACCTTGAGCGGCGGTGCACGCTCCATGAAGCTCAGGCTGTTGTAGACGGGATAGACCACAAACTGATGATTAAACCTGGCGGTCCATCTTACGCGCTCTCTCTCTCTCTCTCTGTCGTCTGACACTCTCCTCGGTCTCACTTCCGCCCACTGCGTGGGTTTGAAGATGGGAATGATATGGAATGACGGCTCCTCTTGATCCCCTCTCTGTCATTTGCCAACACCCCAAAAAGGCCCAAGCTAGCGAGGACTCCTGTGCCACCTGTGCTTCTGCCGTGCTGCCGTGCCCGATCTGCCCCGCGCCGACTCGGCGCTTCGCTTCGCTTCGGACTCGACGGCTCCACGAGACTGCCAACTTCTCGATGGCTGGCACCTCGGAGGTCCGAGGCCACGGAAGAGGCGCCACGTCCAGTTCGAGTGCGAAGTGAGAGCAGGAGGGTGGAGGAACTGGTGGAGGAGTAGGTTGTTCATATCCTTTTTTCACTCGAACTGGTAGCATCTGGTGGTCCAATAAGGAAGTAGAGGTTTGAGGCTTCATCACATCTTTAAAGATTCTAGTATGGGTACTTTTCAGGATCGACTCAGTAGAATAGAGTATATTGTAATATAGGATTCTCTTGAATTGTTCTAGCGCTCGGCGATAAAGACTCGCCATCAAAATTCTCATCTCAGCCAAGTCACAAAGTAATCCTGCTGCCATACACACCTGAGACAATTGCAGGTCACCAAGAAAAGGGCATATCTGCAGTGGCCCAGTCTCATCAAGTGCCATGAAGCATGCAGGTCATCACATCAACCTGGGCCCCCCCAGCACAGAACTTTGGAGTGTGTAGCCCTGGGCGCGGCAAAGACATCACGAGACATCTAGTCCAGCTCGCCAGCAGTGTTGCCCCAGCCTTTTCATCTCTGACTCTTGAAGAATCAAATTCACCATTGACAATGTCTTCCACAGTCCAATACTGTCGATGAGGAGTGGGAAGTCTTTCTTGCACATTTATCCCTGAAACTCCTCGCTCGTATATTATACACCCTGAGAATGTTTGACCCTCCCAAAGAGTTGCGGGCTGCACCAAAACAACAAAGAATGCAGTCTTCTGACCGTTTCCGAAAAGGGCCAAAAGAGTCGGCGAAAGGAAAGAATATGAAAGAAGTCAGCATTCCCAACCATCATTCCTGCCAACCTTTTGGATCTTTTGCATCAGACCGACTCCATCCCTATGACCCAGATCGACTCGCGCGTCCTCCGCGCGGCTCCCTCCGCTCCGCTGGGCCCCACGGCCATGGCACAGGAGCCGTTCACCGCTTGCAGCGTATCGGTGAGTCGATAGGACGTGGGCACGAAGGCCTCGGAAACGTGAGGACGCTGGTGAGAGGCATAGGTGTCCGGAGGAAGGAAGGAGAACACGATGAGCACACTGGGAGATGTTTCAGGGGAATTTTCTAAAACATTTTTGAATCCAGAATATAATTTGAATATGTTTTTAGAGTTTCTACCAGGATATGCATTGAATTCTGGTAGAACTGTCCCTCGAATGCTGGCCCCGCAACTCCTGCCACGCTGCCACCACAGAATGCCCGGACAATTGCATCCGACATCTGAAAACGGCCCCGTTGAACATCACCTCATCACCTTCCGCCTCTCCGCCGTTCTCCCCGCTCATCATGCCGTGCCTCCTCTCCGGAGATCCGAAGAAGCTCGGAGGGCTGAAGACCTCGGGCGCCCGCGCCCGGTGCTCGACCCGCGGTCTCCCGTGGTGCTCCGGGCGGTGCTCCGGGGCTCCGCGCAGTGCGTCGTGGAGTTCGGATGTCCACAGCGACGGAGGCACTCGAAGGGGCCATAGCTGTCTGCCTCGGAGGGAGGCCGAGGGGTGGAGCGAATGGGAAGTGGTTTAAGTGTCCAATGTTCTGATGGAGATTTAGTATAGACTCATATTAAAAACCTCACAATCAGGTTTTGTTCTGGTCACCATGGGAAAATCTCAAGGATGTTGGGTTGCTAGTTTCACTCTCCTGGTCCTTTCCCAAGATACTGTGGGAGTACAGGAAGAGTATTTAGCAGTTGACTGTATGCACACGTAGGTCCTTTCCTCCGGCTATTCAAAAACATGGAAGGTGACCTACATTGCATCACATTGTGGTCATCTCGCTTCAACTCAACCAATCGACCCGACTTCGCTCTCCCTTCGGACAACTCGGTTCTGCGACTCCATTGGTGTAGGTCAACGAGCCACAGTACGACGAGGAGTCCTGCAAATGTGCAGAAGACGACCAGTTCAAGCTAGTGGACCAGCACTCTGTGTGGACGAACGAGCCCTAGACATGCAGGTCTTTTTTTGGGTTCGTCTCGTGCATGCTGGAACTTGTAGGATGCAACGAGGGCGGAAAGCGCCTAAGCACAAACAAGAAAAACAACGGGAAAGTGTCAAACACAACTACTACGCCACCCACCAGGATTTCAGAGCGAAACGTTTTCCGAACCTGATCGGTCATCGCATCCATCCTGCTTGGCAGCGGCCTGGGCGAAACGAGACAGGCTCAGAATCCGAACCAAGACAGGCTCTTTGGGGCCATTGGTTGACCGAGCACTTGGAGATTTGTGGCAGGGCTTCAGTCCAAATACCATGATGCTTCCATAGCTTGGTTGACTGGTGAAGCGAGCGGAAGCGAGCGAAAGGACACCCAAACAATGAACTGGCAATCGGTTTGTTATTGTTGCACCAATGTCTTAGTCTTGGTGCTTTTCAGTTTGCTATATAGTTTTAGCCAAACCATCATGAAAGTGGAATGCATCCAGTTTGTGTAGGATTGCCTTCTTCCTTCGCAACCCTGCTCTTTTTTGCAACAAGACGAGCGCTTCGTCGCTGAATGGCCATTCCAAGCATTGCTGGCGGAATGTGAGTGTTTGGCTTGGGTTGACTCCTTGGGCCCGGTGAGAAAATCCCAACATCTTTGGGGGGATTGAACAAACACCTCCTACCGGTTAGAAGGGCCTTCAAGGGGTGGTAGACATGGACACCACTTAACAGCTAAGGGGCTATAAATAGACACCCCCTTGGAGGGTACAAAAGCACCAACCATGCAGCATGTCTGATTCCAAAGTTTCCCCTGCACACGATCTGGAGTTCAGCTACCATGTCCTCCATCCGAGGGCAAAAGAAGTCCACCTATAAGCCCGGTGGATTGAATTTGCAATCCATTTCGGACACCGAAGACACCAAACATGGGACTGGCACAGGTGCCATACAATTTGGGGTGGGATTCACAAAAAAAGGGGTCCACGTAAGCATCTATTTCCAGTCTGGAGAGTCTGGGAACGATTCCGCGGACGCTTTAGCGCCCCGGCTCACAGCGACTGCCACAGAAGGTGACCTGGAGGAAAGGTGAGAAAGGGAGCTGTTTTGATCGGAGGGACTGGTGGATTCCGTGTGGATATGAGCGATTTCAAGTGGGTTCCGAACAAATCCCCAAACACATGGAACCACCGGAACAACACCGGCGCAAAAACCCCTCCATCCACCACCGTTTCAACGTTTGTTCCGCTGTGGTCTTGCTCCCCTGCAAAAACCGCACCGTTGATTCGCGGCCACGCAAGGGCGAAGACGCCGCGCAGGTCGCGCCTGAGCGTCCGGTGTTAAGGACACGGAGTATTGCTCGGGCCGTTGCACGAAGTACCAAATGGTCAGTGCCTCGGCGGCATCATCGCATCGCGCCGCTCTGCCGGTTCCGCGGAGCAGGGGCGTTGCGTGGTGCTCGCATTGCTTTTTGAGCACCCGGCCAGGACTACAATCTCCAGGAAGCAGTAGACGATGTTGACCCTGACCGGAATTGTCATCAATTGCGCGGAAGATCCAGAGAAAATCATGGGTATTGCATCTTAATCATGAATTCCTTTCTCTTTGTTACAGCAATCTCATGCTCTCCTTGCCAGTGAAGGAATGTCTTCCTAAAAAGACGAGCAATTGCAAATACTGTCCAAAGAAGAACACACGACACACATCCCAGAGATTGGCTGAAATAAGACATGGACCTGAAAGGGACCATGTCTGTTCGCAATCTTCTACATCAGGTAAGTACGCTACTAGGAGCAAAGGGCATCGCTACTAGGAGCAAGGACGCTACTAGGGGCAAAGGGCATCGCTACTAGGAGCAAGGACGCTACTAGGGTTACTAGGGGCAAAGGGCATCGCTACTAGGAGCAAGGACGCTACTAGGGTTACTAGGGGCAAAGGGCATCGCTACTAGGAGCAAGGACGCTACTAGGGGCTCCTGGCATCGCTACTAGTAACAAGAAGATACTAGTAGCTTTTTCGTCCTTCAGGTGGATTTAGTGGCCGATCACTCGAGCGGGTATGGATCCAAATGAACAACGGGTGGGTCAATGAACGTCGACACCTTGCTACTGAAGATGGACTGAGTCTGGCTAGACCGTGTGGCTAGACCGTGTGTGGTGTGCCAGTTGGCTAGACCCCAAAACCTGCTTGCCTGGTTCAAGATGTTCAAGTCATGACCAGCAAGACTGTTTTCGTCAGCGCCCAACGAACGGCGAATCCAGCGGGACATGGATGTATGATGGTGGGACATCAAATACAGCAAACAGTGCTTGCCATGTTTTTAGGTTTTTCGTATGTTCAAGAACAAACAACATTCCTTTTCCAACTGCTGTGGGAAAACGCAAATTGCCGTCTGCCTCTTGTTCGCTATGTCCACGCTCTTGGGCAAATAAACCACACCACCTGAGAAACTGCAAAGCTTTTACCCGTTTGTAACAACCAACATCTATGGAACTCTACGCAAGCAATACCCGATCGGACGCGACGTAACCATGCAATATGCTCATGTCCCTCTCTTCTGTTGATGGCCGAACTCCACCAGGAAAACGACGATGGCCGCCATGAACACATCTTCCAAGCTTCCATGATCTTCCATGTCTCACCCATGTCTTTTCGCTTCTTTCAAGGAGACAACGACCACACGGCGACGGCGCATACACTCCACACTTCGCCCACTCTAGACCGACCGTCGGGTGCTCCACAAACACTTCGCCCCCTGAGCTTCCAGCTACTCGCCCAGTCGTTGATTCGCCTCGGGTTCCGAACGTCGAAGACGGAGTGCGAAGGCAGTGGATGGATGCATTTCACTTCATTTCGAACAGTCAATCGTGTCACACTAGATTGAACATCATAACATATGATCATAGTGTTCACCCCTTTTCAACCACCCCAATGGACTTATGGAGTGTCTTCAAACGGTTGAACCGTCGAGACGCAGTGCTTGGCTGCTGAATGCGGCTGTCGTTCTGTCGCTCCGTTCGGCCGAGCCGGCCGCCGCCGAAGCGCGTCGCGCGTCGCGCGCGTTCGTTGGGCTCGCCGACTGCAACAGGGTTTTTCTTTCCGTCTCTTCCAACTCTTCCTCATCCTCAGCGGCCGATCCGTGAGCCGTGAGCACAAAGGTGGTGGTGGACAGGTGGGTATTATACCCAGATGGCTCTTGAGTCCACGCATGGCAAGGATCAAAGCACGCTGGTTCTTTTGTCCCAGACCATCCATGTATGAAGTTGAGGCAGGGTCATACATGGGGTATTGCGCGCACGATTCCATACATGGATGATATCAGATTCTGTGCAAGTCCCTGAGTCATGACACCTTCCAGATCTTTCTCGCTTTCAGAACTCCGGTTTGTCGGCTTTGCAGCATGCTTGCTTTGCTTCGCTTCGCTTCCAGCTTTGAGCTCCACACGACGAAGAAGGTCTTTCTTGGAATCGACACCACCTGCACCCGTAAGAAGATGCTTCGGTCTTTGTGGTTGGAGTCGCATGCACCCCATGTTGCCCCGTCATAGAAGCAAATTGGGATGGAGTGAAGGTGAATCAGTTGCAGATCAAGAGCTACCCTCCTGCAGAGGGCCACATGGACCCCTTCCAAAACCACTGGGTTGTAGAGGACGCTTTTTTCCTGTGAATTCTGAGGGTCCAAACAGCTCGTCTGCCGGGGGTGCTCGGATCCTTTCACCGCCAGTCGTCCGACGTAAGCTTCTCAACCCAAAGAGATGGCGCTCCGAACCCGTTTTTCAACCAGCGATCGGTCCACAACAGAACCAATACCGCCCCCGAACCGTGTTGGTGTCGACCAATTTTGGTCCAAAAGGGCCTAGAGTCTAGACCGGTGAGGAACGGGGTGGACACCAAAACCGGCCAGTTTTCTTTTTTCCTTTCTTTCCAGGTGATAAATCCCGGGCGCCTGTGGTTGGAGGTCGGCTCCAGTCTCGGCTCGCATCTTCGATCCAGGAGGATCCGTGCAGGTCCGTGCGGGCAACACGTGCGCGGAGAAAGCCACCGTGGCGGTGCCGAGACCAGTCTTAAAGCCGAGCAACATGACTCCTGACCTCTTTTGGATAGGAAAAGGGACATCACTGGTTGGTATTGCTTGGCGATCCTAAATCTGAGGTCACTCAGATTCCGTCTGCCACCACCCAAGAGCTTATCGTGGTCAACAAGGCGCCCCCTGGGTTGCTTCTCCCTTCTCCACGGCCTGTTCCTCGCCGTTCTCCTCGGCTTGCGCCTGATTGGACGTGTGCCGTCTCGAGACATTGCTTGGTCGATTGAGTTGAACTGGACAGTGGCCCCAGGGGAATCTCACTCTATAGTCTTGCGTTCACCAGCTTATAGCTCAAAATAAGGGATCTACTCCGAATGTGAGGTCATGGGATGCTTCTGGTACTGGGAAGCAACCTGTGGTCCTTGGTGAGATCTGCGCCATGTGGACCCTGCCCCATCCAGCAAACTACCTGGAGTCTCAAGGTACCTTGGAAAATGGGTACAGTCGTACCTGTTTTTATGGGGTCATGTCATGTCCCATTTTCTAAGGTACTTTGGAGGGTCCAGGTACTTCAAAGACAATCGAGGCAATTCTTGGACTGCAGTCCTGGCTCCCCTGGAGGCAACATTTGTCAAAGATTTTGAAGTCTCATGTTCGTCCTACTACTGGCATTATTCACCTGAACCCTCTACCACCATGTTGCCATATATCGCCTTTTTGTAGCAAACCAAACCATCCCCGCAATCGAACGAAGGCAACCCAGCCAACGCGTGCAGCTCGCAACTTGTATGGGGCCTCTTCCGGTGTCGCGGGAGGAGCCTCGTCGGCACAAATGTCCGGAACTGGCAAACAGCAAAAACACCCAGGTGAAACTGTGCCACCTGGATCTTCCACGCAAAATCTCTGCCAACAAATGGCTATGTCCTTGCATGCTATGTCTGGGCTTCATGGAGAAAAAACGAGCTTTAGCATATCGTTGGATGGTCTTGGTATTTTGATGCGACCAATTTCCGTTTTTTGAAGCCACACATGCATGGACAGCAAGGCATGGACCCACGAGTTCACATGCCTGAAACTGGCAGGATACTACTTGTGTGAGAAATCTACTCCTGACAAATACCCAACATCAGCACTCTTTCTCGTCTCTTTCTCCTTTGGACCTAGCCATGTCCAGTTCGAACATGATGGCCACAAGAGCCGCGTCCAAACGGGATGCCTCGTCCTCCTTCTTGTTTTCCTGCAGCACGTCGGCAACCCGCAGTGTTGCAACGTGTGGTCCACTGGAGGCGTGGTCCGCGTGGTCCGCGTTTTTCCGATCCAGACAGTCGACCCCGAACGGGCAGAACGGTGGTCCAACATCGGTCACTCAGGTTCTAGGTTACTCGGTCGCCCTTAGTCTATATCGTATCCAAAAGCACATTACTTTTCCAGTATCATGGGAAGAAGGGGACTGAGTCATGGTGCACGTTTTTAGGTAGTACACCATTGGAATCTTCGTCCCTTGGCAACGCACCGGCCCCAGCTGCTGATTCCAAGTCGTACCACGCGGTTGACCCGATCCAAGCACCCGATCCATGCAGCCGTGGGCACGAAGACACGGCGGAGTCGTGGAGTCAGCCAGTGTCAGTGTCAGCATGGCATGGAACGAAGAAAGGACATACACTGGCACTGACACTGAAAGTGTCAGAACCATGGAGCAGAACCATGGCCAGTGTCAGTGTCAGTCGTACATGTTAGTGTCAGATACACCCTGGAAGACGATGCCATGGACCCTGAAAACCACTGGTTGGTAGAGGACATACACTCTTCCAGCGGGCCAGGACGTCAGACTGTCAGGGTCTATGTGAGTTTTCGGGACTGTAGCTGATTCCACCAGATCTCTGGAATTTCAAGAACCCACATCCTATTTCCAGCAGTCACGTTCGACGGGGTGCGATCCATGGAGGTCGTCGGGGTGCCGAACTGTCACATCCACAGCCCCTGGATGGGACGAAACGGCACACCACCCAACTCCAACGTGACTTCCCAGGCGCCGGTGTTTCTTTCGTCCGGTCCAGGTCCGTGACCCCCCCCCTCCCCGGTGAGGACATCGTCCGGTCCTCTACGAGGACATCGTCCGGCGCCACAGCAGTGGATGCCTGGACGTTTTTTCGGCACTTGACGTGATCGGCATTCAGTCCAGTGAAAAATCACCAGGTCACCCCAATATGTATATAAGCTAGCTCATATATATGTACCTGAGTCTTCCAACGACATGACACATGGATGCCTTTTCATCCATAAAAGCCAAAAGGCCGACATTTGGCATCGTTGGAAGATCCAGGTACGTATATTCCATACATGGAGTGTCTGGGTACTGTTTACATGGATATACCTTTAGATTGGTGAACCTTGACCAGCCAGGACAGGCAGGGGAGAAGGCAAATTCCATTGAAAGTTGGGTCATGTTGGGAGGAAAAAAACCACTACCAGGAGCGATCGGATGCTACGAACGGGGCTTTTCCTGGCGAGTCCGACTCGAACGGGAGCGATCGGACGCGGACCTTCCTCCGCCGTTGTTCGCTGCTTGTTCTGCCTTTCCACCCTCCCTAGACCCACACGCGATCCGCGCGATCCACGCGCAGTGCTCACCTGAGCCATGGCCGGTCGCCGCGGTGCTCGGCGGTCCGTGGCCGGGCACGAACCACAAGGGTCGCGCTGCGGACGACGCGAGCACTGAAGACCACAAGCAGTTGGCGCCCAAAGTGGGTTGAGGCGTCGTTGAAACTTGGCCTCATATCAGAAAGTGGATCCGGAAGATTATCAGGAGATATCAGGAGAATGCATCTTCAGCCTGTAGTGGAAATTTGTTGTCTGGTTCTTTATTGCCTCGCACGCTGCAGCAAACCCTGGAAGCGTGGCATAAAATTTTAAGAACAATTTGTATCCAGACTCTGTTTGTTCGGTGGAGTGTTGATATTTTTTGGAGGAGTCTTTTTGAACTTGATCCATGCCCAGCAATAAGTTGATTGCCATGCAAGTCTGGTATTGCCTCATAAGACATCGACCCCTTAATTGTAAAAAGCAATGAAAAAACTCCGTGGACGAGACAAACCGCTCTTGTTGTGCCAGGTTCACCCAACTGCTGTCTTTTCCTTGCCCGTGATGTTGTGCTACGTAGGTACCCGCCACGGCAAAAGCCACGTGCCTGTGCCCCCGCAAAAAAACCATGGACACGGGTCATCTCTTCATCTACCTTGAGGTGTTCGGAGGATCCTCCAATCTTTGGAGCCCCATAATTGTATCCCTACAAATCCAAGTACCTTCTGAGAATGTGATTAGAGACACTGTGATGTAGGTGCCATTGTCGGGTGCATACCGAACCGTTCATGGGACTGCCATAGGACGGCCCAGAAAAGGCCAGGGGTGGTGCCAGGGGAAAAAAGCACATGGGGCGCTGTCATCTACCAGTCCCATTAGTCGTGAAGGGGAATGGTGCTTGGAAGTCCATGACAACGGAAGGCGTGCCGTGTTCGTCGTGGTTCCAGCGTCTTGAGTGCCGTTTTCTCTCCAGCTGGTGCTAGCGGTACAACGGCCGCGGCCGCTGTGCCGGTGCGTGAAGGACTGCAGGACCTCTCCAGCCTCTGCCACCTCCACGACCACGACTGGTGACTACTGGTGACTGTCCCTCCAGGCCTGGCCTCACTGTCCACTGGGTTGCTTCTGTTTCAGCACCCAGCAAAGGACCCCTCTGGTTCTAGGCCCCTCTGGAGACCAAGGACGTTAGAGAGACGAAACGACGGAAACTGAAACTGAAACCTGCTGAAACCTCAGCACATCTGCCTCCACAGCCAAATGTTTCCATGCCCTGGAACTCAAGGTTGACACATCCCGGAAACGGGTTTTAGAATACTGATCGAGTTTATTGATGAGTACTTAGGATTGAACTATATTGTTAAATATGATATACTATTCAAAGGACCATATTGAGTTCCAAGAACATTGTGTATTTACAAAGCTCCACATACAGCAGCTTGATGAGTCTCATCTCACTAGTACTGGACCACCTCAACCGATCCTCTGCCCCTCGATGTCATGTGCTCGACGGGTGGACCTGGGGCTCTTGTGAATCTGCACCTGGGTCGCGGAGTCCCGTTTCGGCCGCACCGGTGGCCGAAACCCTGCTCGCGACGCGTGAAATGCTCGCGTGATCCGTGGGTTCTACGGAGAGCGCCAACAGCAACGCACTGATCTCTGGAGCTTCCTCTGCGGTCTCGCGCGCCAGGTATTCCAGGCGCCACCTCACCCAATCGCTGCCCGTCGTGGACTGGCTGCCCATGTCAGCGACGGTGGCTGAGGGAGCAAGCCGAACACCTTTTTAGCTGGGCTTCTCAATGTTCACCTACTCATTGAGCCAGGCTGCGACGGTGGCTGCTGCGATTTCTGCTGCGAGAAGACGGATCTGGTCCCTCCAATCCGAGTAGTGAGGGTCACGGTCACCCGAAAAAAGCCGTATCCAGCAGGGCGGAAAGGGCTCCTGGCCTACCTCCGTTTCGGTTTGGTGGTTGCGGTGGGTGCCAGGGGGGTCTAACATGGTCTAACCATCGGAGATGGGACGATCGGAGCTTGGAGTCCCGGTCCCCAGCACCCCGAGATATGACGAACGGAGTTTTAGATGATCTTGTTGCAGTGAAACGTTGACTCACCAGCGACTGCTGGCAAATAGCAGATCTGCTGGGAACTTGGTCCATCCTCCATGCAGGCAGGCCGTCTATTTGTGAATCTGTCTACCCCAGTCTCAAGCCTTTTCTGAGCTGCTACTTGTTTTGCCTCGCTTCCAAAACCGAGTTCAAATGCACAAAAGTCCACTCGCTCGCTCTTTTCGCCAACATAATCAAGGTGCCATTCGTCCGCCCGAGTCAGTCACAGGTCACAAAAAAAGCCCTCAAAATGCAGACAGAAGCATATACTCTTGTCTGGCGGCGTCAGGCTGCGGCGTCACTCAGGTCTCAGTGTTCCTCCTGGCAGAAGCTGGAGTTCCGCGATCGAGAACAAAAACGACGCGAGAGCTCCGAATCTAAGCCTGAAGAACAAGATGAAGATCGGAAGGATTTATATCATGACTTCAGAATTACGCTTCAAAACGGTTTAGGGCCAGTTCTTCTCTGTCTTGTCCCGTTTCTGTGCATTGACCTGAGTAGCCAGTTCTTCTTCCCTCGAAACCTGCCTTGATCGACATGAATATGCCAGGTCCACCCGAGCCATAAAGATCACTCTTCCATACCATGGGACTGGAATATGATGGAATAAAGTAAAAAAGAACACACCGTAACACACCCATGAAACACATCCATGTGAAAACATGGTTCATTCATGTTCATTCCATGAATTCAACGGTGCGTGCAACACATTCCATGAACAATTCTTCATTCCCTAAGAATCATTGGACCCTCCGAACTGGAGGGTCTTGGACCCTGCAGAACACAGGGGTTTGGACCCGAACCAAACCTTCACCGAACTGAGGGTCTTTGATTCTGGACATGAAAATACTGCAAACCTCAGAAGTGAACACCATTTGAACACAAAAGATGTCAAAACCTATTCAACATGGTCCAGTCCCGAACCACTCCCTTCACCTCATCCAGTCCCTCAAGACCTTCACCTCATCCACTCACCCGGTGGGTTCCATATAAAGGTCACGGGTGCACCGTCACCGCGCCTCGCTGTCGCTGCCACCGCTCAAGAGACGGCGCGTGGCGATCAACTCCTTGCCGTGGAACACGACACGACACGCCGTGACGAGGGACCTGCAGGTGCCTGGTGCCCTGGCTCTCATTGAAAAAGATGGCAAAACCAAAGGGTTAACCATACATGGAAGACCATTTTCCACTACAAACAGGTGGTTTTCCACTTCCATGTTAGTGAGTCAGAGGGTAACCATAGTTGACAATGATGCGCCTTATCTGAAGATTGCCATTATTTGACTTGTGCGACTCGTAGGGTGGCTGAAGGCGGCTGGATCCAATGGAACCTCCTCTCGGGGGCCGGAGACGTCCCTTATTCCCTGCGACTTGCACCAGTCACTTCTCCCTACGAAGCCCAGTCATGACCCATGAACTACCCCGAACTGGTTGTGGTGGATGGCTTGACCTCCAGGTGGGGTTGAATGAGTCCAAACGGAAGTTCCGGGATATGATGGCTGCCAATATCTTTCCACACTGTCCAAACGCAAGGGGTTGACATGTTCAAGCAAACAGGCAAGCTGGATCAAGGTCCGTTTTGCTTCCATGGCTGCTCTCACAAGTTGTAGAAACATCTAGAAATCTGCTTATCAAAAGACATTGGGCAGTTGGGCACATTCCTATACTGGACCGGAGTGAAGTTGCCCATGGCCAGGCCAGTTGATATGGTGCAATGCCTCTCCAAAAAGGAGGGCCAATGGACACCCTCTACGGGGCTATTAATGGATCAAGGGACACCTTTTCCGTGGTGCTGATTGTTGGCTTGTTTGGTTCTCATTGTCATAACCATGGGTCATAGATGCCCAAACACTCGATGGGACTGGAATATATGCCGATCAATTGACCCCCGAAACCACCACCCCAACTGATCGGCAGTCCTATGACAGTCCCATGAATCGTGTCTGGGATGTAAGAATCCCATTTTCCCAGACACGACCTGTCTGGGACTGCCATGTCGGACTGCCTACAACTATGCCTATTTCTTTGGGGTGGTTGACTGGGGGGTCTGGCTTGATCAGCATATCTTCCAGTCCCAGACAGCTCGTGTCCGAACCCGTGGAGCTCCACGAAAGCTTGCAACCACCACCCGGGCCGCGCCACCCGCGCACGACGTCGGTGGCACGTCGCCTTGGCGATCTCGGGCACATCGGTGTCACGCTCGATCTGGGAGAGGAGGAGGAGGAGGAGGAGAGGTGAAGAAGGTGAGAAGTGGCCGCGGGCCAGAAAGACCCTTTTCCTATGACCAACTCCATGGAACAACCCAGAAGAAAAAACCAAGCTGCAAGCTGCTGAAGCTGCTGGTGAAAGGGAGAAAAAGCCTTCGTTCTTTTCACTGGACACCATCTGATCTCACTTTTTTATATTCAGCGCTCGTATGATGTGACGATGGTTTATAGGAGCCAATGGCAACCATAACAAAATTCATTCCTATATCTGAATGATTTTTAATGCTTACCGACTATCCCATCACAAAGGCATTTCCGCATTTTCCCGCACTGCTTGGCCACGCTTCCCACGCCCGAAGCCTTCTCAGTGAGGAAGAGAGGTGGCGATGAGCCGACGATGCCGTCCCTGATATAAGCGAAGGCATAGCTAGGTGAGTACCTTAGTGTCACAGAGTGAATAGGACACTTCCGTCAAAGACCACCTTGCACTGAACGACCTCCCCAGTGCCCACTGACAAGCCCAAACGGAGAACCTCCACGTCAACCGCACGTCTTCCCCGGCGCCGCCGCCGCCGTGAAGCGGCACTGTCCGCGTGAGTGAGTCGCGTCGTTCGACGCACGCACGGTACCGTCCGAGGGGCCGGATCCAATAGGAGGACTTCGGGGGAGACATGATCAAGGAGAGCACGCAAAAGCTGCAGGTGCCCACGAAGGCAAAGAGCCTCACCGACCGAGAAGGGGAGAACCGGCCGGAGGCGGGGTGGATGCCGGGTGTGGAATGCCAAGGGGCTGAAGGTCGGATGGAACAAGCTAAGCCCTGAGCAGGAGGTTCGGGTGAACATGAACACATAGAAACCTGTCCCCTTGACTGCCCTCTGTGGGAATATCGCCAAGGGCAGCAACTGCGCGAGCTGGTTTACGAACATGGACAACGAAGATAATGAAGTCTATTTCGGAAGTAGCATGGGATAATTGATATGATTGCCAAACAAAATTACATAGGTTCAACATGAACCTGTGATACATCCAATAAACATCGACTTGCACAACCCCCTGTTAAGAGACAGCAGTCTTCCCAACTCCGGTGGAGTACACACCGCGGTGTACGTTTTCTCTCTCTCTCTCTCTCGACGTGATCTCTCTCGGCCGTACGACTCCACCGCCTCACGGCAATGCACTGCTGCTTGAACTCTCCGTAGGACACCGCCGGCTTCATGAAGAAATTCCTCAGATGCCTCGGTTCGGAGCGCCACGCGCCCGTTTCAACACGCCCGGGTGACGCCCGGCCAAGCCCGCCGTACCGCCGGTACGGCGAGGTCGTTCGCTTCTTGGTGTGGCGAAGCCGCCGCGACCCTCTCGGTGTGTGCGTGGTTCCTGGTTGAAGCAGCAGGTTTAGGGACCAGGCTACGTAGGCGGTGTCCATATGGCTGGAGATGTCAGATGAATGACCCTGTGGCAACATCCTCCCAAGCTGTGTCGGATTCCAAGCTGTCCTCCGATTCCACACCCAGTTCTGACCGCACACAGTTGACCAATTCTTGGCGAGACCTGGTTTCTCCACCCCAAAGCCGAAAACCACGAGACGAGAAGAAACCTGACTCATTCAGTTCTCCTGGAAATTAATTCACCTCTTTCCACCTGCTCATCTTTGCTGTGGAAACTCACCCATACCAATCCCCCCTATATAACGGTTAAAGGAATTCAAAGGATCCGTTTACGCTATTTACGGTATTTAAAGATTACCCAGACGCTCATGGACCCTCCTAAGTAGGGGTCCGGACCCTCAAATTCCCTAGGGTTTTGAGGGACCAAGAGCTGTTTGGAGCGTCTGGGTATGCACTTTTCCATGGGTATACCCAGGTGATCCACTCATTCACCGTCTACCAATGTCTTCCGGAATTCCCACGACAACGATCTTATTTAAGTCATGAGATGCGACCGTGTCCCGGTTTTAGTAGCTACCAGGGGCCCCACAAACCATACAAATCCAGGTTTTCCCTATAGCAAAAACGACCTGGTTTTTTGTATGTGAAAACCTCGGTTTTTCATGGTTTTGTGGACCCCTGGTCCTTGCTGAGTCCTTGCTCCCTTCGCCGCGTCCCGCTCCGCGTCCCAAGGCGCGGCAGGTTGCCAGCGAAGTCGGTCGATCCGGGGCCGGTGACGCTGTCCTCAGACGCTGCGACGGATCGGGACGGAGGGACTGGGGGGGGCCTGAAGTGGGGCCTAGGATCTGCTGGCTGTGAGGCAAGGGCCTAGGATAGGGATCTGCTGCCCATGAACAGATCCCATCCCACCATCCCGCCCACTCCACATACGTCTCGACCTCTCCACCGAGCGGCGCCCAGGCAGCGGCGGGCCATGCGGGCGGCGCCGCTCGGGCGGGGGATGCGGCGCAGCGAGGTGGCCAACAGCGACATGACCTGGGCCCGGAGGATCGGGAGGCGACCGAAGGCGACGGGAGGCGATGGACCGAGCGGAGCGAGCGGACGCATGCGCTAGTCGTATACGGCATACGGTCCACCAATGTGTAGAGGTGAGTGCGGACGCAGGTCGCTGAAGCATCGGGACCTATATCGATATGATCGATCAAGTGTTCCCATTTGCCCGCATGACAATATAATAGCGCATGACTACCAGGACCTGAGCCGTTCGTGACCTCTTTGGAGTCTGTTTGTGACCTCTTTAGGGACGAGTCGTGACCTCATTCTAGGATATCAAGTTCGGTCACTTTGAAGGTGTACATGGACCGCTTCACCACCCGCCCCAGTCGTCTATATCTCAAAGTGTCACCGTTTCGGTCCGCTCGGAGAGCGGTCCATAACCTAAGAGCCATGGCCTCCAACCTACTTGCGATGACCCCAACGTGTAGCCATGGACCATGCTGCCGGACTCCGAACTGCGCCCCAAACCACTCCGCCCCGCCAACCGCTCCGGGAGGCGTTCGGTCGCACCGGGTGAGGATCGTGGCGTTTCTTTCGCTCCGGTTCCCGGTGAACACTTGGAGCCAACCGACGCGGTGAGGAGCGGCGGTGGCGGGTGGATCAGGGTGGATCCGGGGCGTCTGAGATGCGTCGTTTTGGGTGTGAGTTGGTGGTGGCTCACAGGTCAAAGAGGAAACAGGATGAGACACATATATGTTTCAGAAATATTATGAAGCACTGAACATATGTGTGATCTTCAAAGTCATTTCCAAGAATATCTTACTAGCCATTTTCAGAGCAATATAGAATAAATTATGAAACGCTTGAAGAGGGAGGCCCTCCATTCCACAGGTTTCAATTGATTTTCCTTGATAGGCTTTTTCAAAATTGATTGTTTTTTGAGTCTCCCTCTTTCAATACACACCTATTTTCTGCTGCTGGTGCCACATAACAGCGGCGGCCCGTTCTTCCAAGTTACTGTTCCAAGCCCACGTTGGGGCCGGGAGCTCTGCCAAGTCTTGGTTTGCATCAGAGTCCTTCCACTTGACCGTTTGTCGTACAGACCGGTCGTGGTTTCCATCGAAGGCCGTCAGCCCAGCTGGCTGTCCTCACTCAACCAAATGAAGCCTCCGTGGCGGCAGAACGTCGTCCGTCCATGTGGGAGCCGCGGGGGAAGAGCACCTTTTCCATGCTTTTTCCCTGCAATTTGCCTGAAAAAACGCCCTGCAGGTGCGTCCTCAGACTGGAGAAAGAACACTTGCCTTTCACTCCCGGTGGTTGTACAGAGTGGAACTTCCATCATCTGAAGAGCAGAGAATTCTCTAAACTCTATCTTCCCCATAGTTACCCCGCTGCGCCACTTGTTGCGCCCTTTCCCGTGGGTTGGCGTGCCTCCACAATTCGTTTTAAATCAATTGGAGTCATATGAGTCACTGGGTTCAATCATACCAGATGAAAGTTATATATCACATTTAATATATCATATTACTATCATATTATATATACCTGAAACCACCACCCATGTTTGGTCCAGAAGAGACCAAGCCCCTTCGCCGTAAACTTCCTGTTTTCGGGCCAAGCCTTTCGGGGTAAAGCCTCCCAGTAGCGGTCTGACCGACCAACCGACGTGGGTCATGATACACCCCACCTCTGGACGGCATCGGACTCCGAAGTCCAGTCCGAGGAGATGCATCGACTGGTCGGCGATTTCCTTTAAAAAACCCTCCCGACACGACTGCATCGACTGGAGATGCTCCGCTCAGCTCGTCGAGGACGACCCACCGTGCCGGACCTGTCACCATCGACATGTCACCTCTCGCTCCGACCAAGGCGCCGACGAAGGCGACGACGAAGGCCCAGCGCGCGCCTCAGGCCCAACTGCCATCTCTGCAGCACATCGTTGGGACTCTGGCGCCTCAGGCGTGGCGGGCTCCGCGACAAGGCGGGGTTTTTGCAGGAGCGACACGTCGGCCGATGTTCCTTTTTGGGGGCTCACGCAACCACACGAGCTGAGCTTTGGGGTTTTGATCCTGGGGTGGATTTTCTCAGCTCACTCCAAACAGATTATGAGGATATACCTGGACCCGACTCTACAGGTCACCAATTAAAGACCTCAGAGCCTCACAAAACGGGCCCTTGCTGGTATATATGGTTCATGTTCATTCCTTGAACAGCTTTGATCCCTTACTCTCTGCTTGAGTGCTCCATGCTTGTCTCTCAAGCTCAGTAGGAGAGTCTCTACCTTGTTACTATAGTAGCTTCAAAGACCTTCTTACACGTGAAACGATTCCCAGTGAAACGATTCCCAGTGAAACGATTCCCAGTTCGGAGAGTCTCGTTCGTCCCAGAAACCACCTCTTCCGAACTTCCGTGACTGGACGAACATGAACGACCTCCACCTGGTCCTCGGAGCAGTTCACGACCTCGCCCTACTTTTCCTCGACTCTTTTCGTCAAGGCTTCCACCAGAAACCCTTATGGAGTCCTGTCGAGTCAAAACACCTCCAAGTCTCCCATCCAAACACCTCACCCCGCAGCCCTTGGTGCGGTCTATCCCCATCTCCCCACCCGTCTCCTCACGCAGCCTTCGTTTGCTCGCGCGGTCTGTCGCTGAGCGGCAGTGGCTGCGCGAAGGTCAACTCCAAACTCCCAGGGCCCAGGGGAAACGCCACGCCCAAACCCACGGAGACTCGAACTGCTTCTCCTCCGGGGCTTTTTTGCTCGCGTGGTGCTCGCTTGCTTCGCTCGCGGTGAAAGCCGGTAGTGGTACGCGGCAGCCGCCGATCAGTAGTGGTGCGTTGTTTGGAAAAAACCTATGCACTTGCGGCGTACGGAAGTGATGGTGTGCTTGGAGTCAATGCATTCGCTTTAATCGGTGATTACGCTTGGAGTCTTCCATGTTCTTCGCATCTGATCTCTCTCTCTCTCTCTCTCTGCTGCTGCTAAACACGCGTGGGAGGCCCGAAATAGCTTTGGGTCTCATCTACCAAGGGTACCACCGGCAATATTCAACCAAACAAGCTAGCTCAAATGTGTTCTTTCCCGAACAATGGGCTATAATGGGCTCATCCTCCGAAGGACATTTGAGACACTCTCCTCAGGACAGCCACCCTGGCTTGATCTGGCTTGAGTGTCCTTTGAATTGCGACCCCACTGATACCGTTTCCATCCGTGGCCACGCCGGTGCCTGTTTTCCAACTCGTTTCATGGCCCGGTTTTCTCGGTCACACCGGTCACGGGTCGACGCGTTCTCCTCGTGAACGCCAGGAGCGCCGCAGGAGGCCACCGTTGACGAAGGCCATGAGTTGGGTTCCTGGCGGAGCGAAGAGACCGCCGCGGAGGCGCTTGCCACACAGGAGTGGGCGAGCAGCGAGGCTTGGCGGCGGAGCGAAGAGACCGCCATCCAAACCAGCTGGTGGGAGGAACATGCGAGGGTGGAGTAAGTTTTGACTAGACAAAAACAAAGAAACATAGAATAAAATACAGCAAGGTTATCATCCTTGAGAGAGCAACCGGAACGTGAAGATCTCTCAAGACTTGTTCTGTGTCTCCTGCAAATCATTCCATGCTGCATTCCACACAGCAAAACACCTCAACCATCCAAACACCTTCCAAGCAAACAGCCCAATTGAGACCCAATTCCGCCATGGTCCGTTGGGCAATTCCCATCATCCGAAAACAGGTGTTCCACAAAGCAGGCAACCACATGTCTCAAATCAGTTTTAGTTGAGGCATGCATCCCAAACAGCTTTGGACATGTCCGACTCGCCCATCACTCTTCACATGTCTCGCCTTCGATGGAGAGAAACGTCATAGGAGTCGACACCTACGTCGCGACCGACGTCTCCACCGTTTCGTTCTCGCCGACCGAAAGTGATTCAGCGACCTCAAGTGAGCAACTCGTGGAGATCCACCACTGCCACAAATGCTCCATGTTGATGCATATTTTCCCAAGTCTATACCTCCGGGATGGGCTGTTTTTTGATGCTTTTCGATGTAGGCCCGTAGGCCATGTCGACATGCGGCACAAACCTGGAGCGTTCCACCCTCCGTGGCACAAATTCTTCACGCTGGATTGCTACTTCTTCAACGGGTCCACCTGGTGCTGTCAACGAAATCAACCACTGGGACTGTCCAGGACCATCTGGGCATCTGCCTACCCGTGACTTATGTGTCTGTGTGCCATACCATTACAGCAAAAATTAAGCACAAACACAAAGGGGCATCGAATGCGTGGAATTCGATACATCGCTTTAATTTAAGGTGAGTCAAACGGAACCTGGCGATGTCAATCAACGGCATATACCAGGACCCCCGGTTTGGGGTGTCCAATTATATAGCGGTATATCCATGAACCACCCCAAACAGGGGGCCCCGGTCTAAGGGGAACTGGTCTGTGCTTCGTCATCATGCATCGACGCAACGGTCTTTGTTTGTTTTTCTTGTGGGCCAAGCAACACCCCCAGTTTCGCCATGTTTGGTATAGTCCAATCGCCATGTCAACATACCCAAACACTCCCAAAACGCGGAACACCTACACCCACACCTTCCCGGCGTCATCCGGACCCCACCAGTCCCACGCGAGGCGCCCGTGCCGAGGCGCCGCGGCGAAGAGCGAGGCCACGGCTTCGCCGCCGCGGGCGTCGGTGGGCTCGGACGGGCGGTCCTGCGTGGAGCCGAGGAGAAGTCTCGGATGCTGTCGACCGGGTCTTATTGGTGTGTTTGACATGTGTTTCTTTCAATGGAATTACCATGAACAGTACCTGTTTCTTTACCAGTTATGTGTTTCGATCTGTTTCGAGGTGATTTCAACACATGGAATTCATGTCGATCTGTTTTTTCTATCAATGGAGATCAGGAAGATTAATAACATGATCCTGGCTGGTTCAGGTGAGTGTTTGCGGTCGTGCCTAAACAAAAACTATATAGTGCATTAATGACATCGGCCATGAACAAATGGTAAAGGACGTCCCCCCAAATGAGCAAACGCAATCGACAACAGTCGGATCTTCGTCCGATTGGGGTCATTTTGGGACCAAACCTCTCAGAATGCTGGCCATGACCAATTCCCTATGTCAACATCTGATGTTGAACGATTTTTCTAAACAAAAGAGTACAAGTACCATCCGGTCTGCAATCTCCAATGTCACTACTCTACAAAAAACCCTCCACGATCTCCATTCTTCCTACACCAAACAGGATGATCCAGGTCTGATGTGCCCAAACGCAGGTTTGCTTCGGGACCGGAGCTGTCTCGCTGATGCCGGCTGTTCACGTCTGACGCAAGGTGTCCGTCCGGGATCTGCCACCTTCGAGAAGGTACGGGCCCCGACCCATAGGCGCCCCGCCGGTCGCCCGACGCGAGGCGTACGCTCATGTCCGTGAGGTTCGGTACGACTGGGATCGTGACTGGGCATGTCCTCCTCTCCACGGCCGCGTGAACACACCACGCCCCCCGTGTTTGCTCCGCGTTCGCTCCTTCGGCTCTTCGCTCCTGCGCTTCGCGCTCCGGCGCACGCCCGCGCGGGCGGTGCGGGGGCAGTGCCAAGGGTCGTTTCTGTGGAGAGGCCGGACTGGAAAATAAACAAGGCGTCCTGGCTCAATGTTTTTGTTCAGTTTGTTGTTAAGTCATCTATATAATTTTTAAGGCTCAAATGTCATGAGTGGTCGTCGAACAAACAAACGTAACCTGAGAAGCTGCAAAACGAAAGCCAGCACTTCCCTTTCTCGACAACTGCGCGTCGAAGCAATCAAATGAGCTCGCGCAGCCGCTTGCGGCCGCGTGTCAAATCTGCTTCATGTCTTGTTCTGCCCACACATAGGTAACCATGCAAAAGCAAAAAATACACTCTTGCATCACCACCCGCTCCAAAATCACTAAAATATCACCTCCAAGAGTTTACGTATACCTTTCCCGGGCCACCCCCCCCCGACCCCCGACCGACTTCACACATAGATAATTCCCATTCACATTCAGATAAAGCAAAAGCCAAACAGTGCACCAAAATTCCAGGTGGCCTGGGACCAGAGGCTCGCTGCCCGAAACGATATGTTCAGGCCACCTCAGAAATGAAGATATGCGAAGCAAGGGTCCTGAGGTGTATCTGTGACAAGGCTTTTGTTAAAACAGACAATTTTTCAAGCTAAATTCAAGGTGCTCCCTAAAACACTCTGTTCAGGCCACCTTAAAAGTGAAGGTCTGCGAAGCGAGAGCAGAGGATGCACATTGTCCTTCTGCTGCTTGAATGTGGCCTTTTGTTTACTTAAAAATTCAAGACCTCCCAGCTGTTTCCACCTCTTCGCTTCCCAGTCTTCCCAGGGTTCATCTAGGGAGCCAGGCCATTTTCAGAATCTTCTGGATTTGAGCTGTTCGAGTTCCTATTGAAGGGCAAAGTTGGCGAGTGCGTCACCACCCGCTCCAAAAGCATCAAAGCATCACCCCCCAGAGTTTACGTATATCTTTCTCGAGCCACACATGCACAGCAAACCACAGCTTTGAAGTTTCATTCGTGCTTTGAACTTGTATAGTGTGTAAGAGGTATAGCAACATAGCATTCATACGGACCCACGGTAGCTACAATTCTGTTCCCAGGTATCGCGCGCA